GCCGTACTGACGATGCCTTCTATCCAACTGCTAACTTTTGTTTGTCTGCTGAAGGCAAATCGATCTCGTCGAATCGGATAAGAAAGGATATCACATTTAATAACTGCGTGTTTTGGATCCGTGGTCACATTTTCGGAGTCCCACAACTATTCAGACATGTCAGCGGTACTGTGAAACACTACATTTGACAGCTGTGACACTGTCACCTCTGCTTTGAATAAATATTCCATTTCGTGGGGATTGAGACGAATTGTTCATACCGCGAGATACTGTTTTTCAGAACTTGTATAGAAACAGACTGAAGCGTCAACATATTCCAAATCCAAATTTGAAGCGTCAACTTCTTCACTGCGTCCATTCACCAGCCCACTGCTCAATACGAATACGATAAAATCCCACAGACAAGCTTGAGTAAATAATGAAACTTCAGGGTTTGATTCCAGTAACTAGGTGAGAGTGCGCGAGAAAGACTATCTTTGGGGAGTCAGCGGCTACGTGGGAGATAGCCTATCTGATTGCTCACCAAACAGCGATAGTGGGTGTTCAGTCGGTAAGCGAGGATTGTTCCAGTGAGCGTGGAAGACACTTCGTGTTCATCGTTTTAACATGCAGAGTTTTCGCACTTCTGAGTATCGTCACATGGACGTTTTTCGAAGTCGCGGTATAATAGGGCATCTTATCCGCCCCACTGACTACTCTCGTCCCACTGGGACGTCATGGCTAACTACTGCTCGCCTAGAAAAATGTCTTGGAGATCCCATATAGCGTTCTAATTTCTGTTCATATTAACCTTGTATCAATTAACAAATGCCGTTGCTATAGCACACTTTGATGATTTCGAATGAACCGATGTGCGATGTGATACTGGGGTTGCCGTAAACCGTGGTCCAACCGTGTACTTTTAGCTTACAAACATGCAATGATGACGCAGTTATGGTCATGGAGCAGTATTTGGTTAGAGTCAAGCATCCCGAGCTGGTATTGTCTCTACATTTGATCGTGGTACCTGGAGAAAGGCCAAATTTTCCGGGACTAAATTTGATTCATTTCTTCCGATAAGCGATACAACAAATAAGGTCGTGTTTGATGACGGCAGCCTAAATGAACTACTGTACCGGCCTTTTCTCTTATGTGAAGACTAGTTGGAAAAGTTTGGCACTTTAAAGCTGCCACAATGCTACGGAAGAATGCTAGTGTCAACTTTCACTAGGCACAGATGTTACCGTACACAATGCATCCTAAAGTCCGTGCAGGATTTCAACGCTTACCATCCGGAGGCGTAATCGTGCCACTGCAACCTTCGAATTGGTGCATCCAGATTATTTATGTATACAAACCCGATGGTTCCTTCCGTATTGATGGAGACCATCGGTTAGTCAAGCTTCCAAGATGGAAAGATATCTTACCACACGCTGAAGACTTGTAAGCTATATTACTCGGTGGCCAAAAATTTTCCAAGTTTGATTTTCTTTGTGCATATTCTCAAACCGAACTTGTTGACGACTCATTTTAGTTGATCGACACAACTATGCTCGTGGAAATTGCTCACTATACCCGTCTTCCTTTCGGAATAAATTCAGCGCCTTGCATTTGTCAAAGAATCCTAGTTAACATCGCTACAGACTTACCGCATACTTTTGCCTATTTAGATGATATACTGCTTCCTGGTTGAAATTGAGCCGATCATCTGGGGGCACTTCAGACAGTCTCTATAAGTTCGAAGGCGAATGGATTGGAACGTAAAAATCCCTCTGTGCGTTTTGTCTGTATCTGTTCGTTGTGTTCGCTAGGAACTTGATAACAAGGGTCTACATCTTACAGGATTCAGTACTGCTTTACAATGACAACACGGTTTGAGAGTAGTGACGAATTCCGATCATTGTTAGGAATTTTCTAACACTGTCGTCGTTTTTTTACCAGACCCTTCAATTATTTTGGCCTCTTTGAACGTCTGGGTGTAAGAGGATGTACATTAGTTCACTTTCCTTTGTGGAAAGGCGGTCTTACATCAGCACCCGTTTTGATCCACTATCATAGAGCGAAATTACTGTCCACACAGTGTGATGCTTCTCCATATGGAGTTGGGTTTGTCCTGTGTCATAAAACACCGAATGGCGCTACTCATCCGATTGTTCACTTTCAACGTGCTTTACAGTCTACTGATAAGGATTACCTTTGGACCGAGTGGTTTCATCAGTCGTTCTTGGCGTCAAGAGGTCCCACCAGTATATTTGGCACAGCCCTTTTGAAACACAAACTAACTACAAACCGTTGACATTCTTATTGAGTGAATCCAACGATATCGACTAGATGTCTCTATCTAGAATACAACGATGGGTACCTACCCTGAATGCGCATGAACACAGCATCCCGGGCCCTTATATTTATGCAGCAGATACTTTGGGCTGACTGCCGCACGCAATTCCTGAAGAGACAGAAAGGAGGTGGTAAAGATGTTTCACTTGATGCAGCGTTTCGGAACTGCTGCATTGATCAGCGATATCGTAGATCGATAGGTCCTACACTGTCCTCCGTGAGGCTGTTTACGCAAACAGACTGGTCTGTTAGAATTCCGGCTTCTTAAAAACGAGCTGAACACATAGTTGTTTAGTGTTTCTCTGTTTAAGACGCGCTCGTCTAATCTGAATGGGCTTTGCAGGTGGTGCTCGCATGAAACCTTTTTCCACGCAGTTATTGCTGGTGTTCTGACTCACATTCCGAAATCGAAGCCATCTGAAAACGTTTAATCTCTGCCAACAGTCGAATAGACCTCCAATTCCAGCAATTACCTGCCGTCGATCTGACAAGACATGACGGCGTATCTATGCAGACTACTTTTGGCGATTGTGCGTTTCCTGTTCATAGTTAATACCCATTCGAAATGGATCAATGTTTGCTCCGTTTTCTCATCTCACTAAGGAAACAACTATTACGGAAATACGTCATCCTTTGCAATCTTCGGAACACATGAAACTGTTTACGCAGACAAAATGAGTATTGTTTCACCAGCAAAAATAAAAATGTGTCTGCTGTACGCCGTAATGGCGCTTTGCTTCCGCGCGACTACCATCAGACGCGCAAGGGATGAGTATACCGCGATAAAAGGTATATTAGTCCCACCAACAAATTCTCTGACTTGTATATTAGTGTTTCTTATGCACTTTTAGGTCACGCTTATTACGCCGTTTGGAGTTGCGTCAGTTGTCTACCCCGGGGAGCGGGAACTGTCACTGTGCCAGCTGGATTTGTAGTGGTGCCCCGCTCGATGCACGACTGGCGAAATCATAGGCTTTGTGCAATAAGACGCACAAGCAGATGCAGTGTTAAATGTAGGTTAACAAAATGACCTGTAGCCCCGGTGTACCGTGGTTTCCAGTACTAAGTTATATCTTGTTTGGTAGCCTGAGAAATGCCCTTTCGAACGGTATCACAAATTCACTGGAGGAATTCAAAACAAGCAAGGTTGCTCGCGTGTGTCTTAGCGAATGGGTTGCCGAGGACGTCGTTTGTTGTGTACCAACGTATTGTTGAACTTACTCCGAAAAGATAGATTCCGTTGGATAGAATTCGGCGATCCGAGTCGAGCAAGCGTATTTTCGTAGATGTGGCACTTAATCTGTAGGGAGCAGTCCAAATTAACACAGAGCACATAATTATGCGACCGGCACGCGACAGCGGGGTCTTAGACGAATATGAGCCGCTGGACGCATGCGATCGATGTTCCGCGCCGATGGATGACATATTTAGTTCCGTCATTTTCAGTCATCTATCCGTATTAAAGCGAGGGGCTATCAGGAGTTCCTCTCTTCAGATGCGCTCTATTTGTTTTGGCTACCATCCACCCTCCCTCCACTTTTCATGTTTGTTCTGACTTACCTACGCGAACCCATTGTCGCGTATCTAGTCTCGTCATTGGCTACCTACTTTATTCCCTTGACGGATGTCACTGCCACTGGAAATACAGTTTATTCCTCAAGCTCAGCGCATTAAACGCATGAGAATTATCCCCAGGGTGTGCAAACGCTGTCGTGCAATTTGCCATTGTTTATGGAACCCCATCGTCTATTACACCGCGTATCAGTAGTATGTTAATTGTCTCCTCTGTTTATGTCAACTTGGCAAATTAAGCTATGTGCATGAGTGGAGGACTTCGATATGCTTTTCTTGAGCTCATCGCGGCAGCTTCCAAACCGGGTTGTCTCCCACATGTCCGGAAACGCACTAGACGTTCGTTTCGTACTGTCGGTACACTTCAGTAGTGCACATCCATCGGCTCCATCAGGACCTGAACCCGTGACTGCACTAGCTGCTTGCACCCCCAACCAGCAATTTGTGCTGTTGAGCAATGCGGACCGTCGTGATTAACAGACTGACTGCAATATAGCGCGTCTTATCCTCCATTACAATGCAAGTTACGCACGTTGCAGGAGGCAGCGTTTACAGTGACTATGCGCGACGGAGCATTTAGGAACGGTTACGACAAATATTTCGGTGTACTCATGCATTATACGCCGTGGTTGCGCCAAGTTGTGCGAAAACGCGAGGTGTCCAGTGAATAACGTGGCATAACATCATGAGGGAATTATCAGAGGGATTCAATCAGGCTGGGGCGCGCGGTCCTCGGAATGAACCACATCGATGGTCAAAGGCGCAGTCCGTGGTACTGCTGCATTCAGTTTCTTGCATCTAGCTGTCAATATTTCTTTCTGCCTAACTTTATTCAGCTTTCCTAATCACTTTTCCTATATTTTGTTTACATTCCTCCCGTTTTTGCTCATCGTTGTTAACTGTGGTTACCCTGGCGATGCGCGTCGCAATAACTAGGTCCACTACACTTTTGTGCCTGGAACATTGCTGTTTAACTCTACCGAACGGACTTCTTAAACGGTTGTTTATAAAGTGCTGCTTTATTCTGGCTTTTCCACTCTGCCACTCGGTTCATTGTGCACACGTGGTGTTGCTCCTGTTCTCAGCCTGTGACTTTTGCTCTCTGTTTTCAGACGTCTTTCCATTTCATATATGCTGGCAACCACTGGCGCTGTGGCCACCGCATTGAGTATCAACAAGCAACTCGAGGTTAGTCTTGCCCTCAACCCGGCTTTTGTTTCACTGTGATGCTGCCTGCGACTAAGTTATACTGCAAGTCATCATTGACCTGACTGATGCAGGTAAAACTCGCATTCAAATTGTTCGGTTTGGTGAACACCACAACAACTGAGGTACTTCCGGCGAATTGGCATCTATCATCTTTTCGTAGACACTTTCCACCTTGGCTCCTGTGTTATGTTCACTCTATGCAGATAGCATTTACAATGCTTTTCTCAATTAGTATCTTTTGTCACGTGTTGGATTGTTTCCTCCAGAACGTGTGCAAGAACTTACCCCCTTCTCTCTTCCACCAAATGTTTGTTTTAATCTCGTCACATTCCCATTGGTCTGCTCCGTTTCTTTGGTTCATCTGTGTCACACTCGTTAAGCGGATCGTCGAGGTGACCGAACGATAGCTCAGAACTTAGCATGAAAAGGATGATTATGTGCTGAATCAGGTCGACATATATCGTCTCCCTTAGTGGGGATCGCTACATCAGCAGACTTAACGATTAGGGCTGGATCTACCTGATCAAGCGCAGCTGAGGTGGCATTGATCCCCAATATTCACTCCTTGCCACAACTGCCTCCGCCACTACGTCCACTGCATGCGAATTGGTTCTGCTCCGATGGGGGTAGGGCACGCGCTATACCCTTTTGCAACTTTTTTTCAACCCGCAAACCGTGTGAGAGAATGCCACCTCGATTCATCGCTTCGAAAGCAATAATTGTTGCGCGAAACACTAACATTTGACTTCCGATTTGGTGAACATGAGGCTACGCAGGGCAATGAGTTGCCAGGAGCCATATCTTTGTCGAAATCTCTCTGTTTAATACCTCACACTTAAAAGACAGTCTTCCGATTCACACCGAATCCTTTATGCTGAAGCACCTCACACGTACTTGAAATGCAGTCTATCACGAATACACAAACAAATGCACTAAAAGCAGACAACTGGGCACTACAATACACTTCGAAGAACGGTAGGGCTAAAAACTTTTACAATTGACTTTTCGAGTGCCTCCTCAGTAATTGACACCATATCCAGATCAAGACACTCGCTGACAATATTAAAACACACCTAGATGGCACCTGAATGGACTCAGGAGGATACCGTTGGCCATTGCACAGACCACTGCAACCAAGCTATCTTGATCGGGATTGCTCAGGTCCCCGACTTGCAGGGGTCATTAGCTTATCTCACTCATGTTTACCTGCAGAAATCTGTTCTGTGTGGTTATGAATTGCTACCTTCGAGCAGACTTTAGATCTGAATAATCCCCATCCACCCAGTTTGATCCAAGTTCGAGGTTGTCGATTATTTCACTCGCACAATTTATCTGAGGAGTTTTATCACCAATGAAATTTTAACAGCTGCGAGCGGCGCTACATAACAACTAGTGACTTCGTCACGTCGATCTCTATCGTTCTCTGTAACTCAGTGGTCTTAACCACAGGCTGACAAAAGTCGAGTTGCGCGGTCGAGCCTCTACAGGGGTTAGATGGAATGCGCACTGCTGGCGATTCCCAAAAGAATGAAGCGGCGATACAGTGCTTTTCCGATCCTGTTATGGCTATCTGACTGAGTCTAGGCGTGACGAATTTCTACCTATATCATTTGAATCCTCCTACCATTCCTTTGTAAGCTGTGATAGGTATTGTTCGCGGTACCCCAAGGCCTAGGGGGTGAGGCGTCCGTCCCTAAGCACTAAGTGATGGAATCTGGTTCCGGCTCCGGTTGTCTCTACCGAATATTCTGATTGTGGACGAAACTGATCTTAGAGTGTAGGATTGGGAGAGAGCGATACGGAAGATCTCCTTACCCCGGCTGTGTTCCCAGTGGTCTAAATGTCCGGCTTTTACCTCTAAACTGATCGTGGTCCAAGTCCTGATTAAATGAAACGTTAAATGAAGCTACTTTTTCGCCTGATATTCTACCGTTTCTGTGGGTTTTATGTATGAATTTTTTGTTTTGTGCTGTGATGTGGAAAAGGGTCACATGGAGCACAAGAGCTACGACAGATAGCCGGAGCGTTAGAAACATCCGGTCGTATCAGTCTTGCACCTGAGGAAGTAAACTTCCGCGGTCACGATACAACGCAGTGCACTCTAAGCGAAGTATCTGGAGGTATGTGATTGACCTGCAGATATGATTTGCACATAAACAATGACGTCCTTTGATGACGCGCGCCAAGGGCTCAACGGTACCGTCATCGATTGCCGCCTCGTACCTATACTGTGTACACATCTTTGATTCATATTTTTCTCCGTATGTGCAAGGCACAGCTCGCTCGCATAAACACATTTGCTGCAATGCATGTGGGCACAAAACTGCGCGGTTTGGATGCGCGAAAGGTACCGTAGTTCGACTGTGGGGATACAAGCAAGGCATCCCCAGAGTTGGGTGGACTGTGTGTAATCTTGTGTGACTGTCTGACAGGGTGAAAGTTCGCTATTCGTTCTTTACGCTTTAATTGGAATGAAATTACCTCGATTATCTCGAATTGGTCACAGGACACGTATTATCATCATCAGTTTGGTCACTATGTCTTCTTGTCTTTTGGTTGCTACCTGCCCCAACGGCCATGTTTTGCTGAGCTGTCCTCCGTAACACTTGTTACGCAAAATATTCTAAATTAGCGGATGGCAGAGTTTGTCCGATGAGGTGTTTGCGCGACGTTGCAGCAGCCGCAGTCGAACGACTGACTGTCGTGGGCTGATGTTTTTTTTGCCAGCTTGCTTTGGCTTATGCTTGGGTCTCACTAAAGTTCTCTTTTTACCTCCGGCTCACAACTTAACAAAGCGACGCATTCCTGTCGTCCGAGTGGGTTTTGGTGTGAATAATGAGCCACGGAGATCTTAGGTTCAACTTTAATCCTCCAATCCTAATAGTGCTTTATTCCGAATTGCCTCCGTTACGTGCCAACTTTATATTTCGTATCGTTTGCGTCACTTAGCCGGTTTTCGTGTGACTTGTTTTTCTACTCCATCCAGTCCCCTCGAAATTTTACCCTCATGTGTTGCGTATTGCTTTCTACATTCGCGAACACTGCCGATGGAATGTTTTGGTGTCCACTCACCACTCCACTGTATCACGTCATGCGATATTTGTTTTAAATGTTTGTGTCCCCCGATCGTGCTTCATGTCTAGGAATCTGTCTCCTCAATTCGAATACCGTCCGCACTGTGCACACATACCGGGAATTGCGAACTCTTCGGTGCTCATGTTGATCACGTCCAGTCGCTTTGTCCTTTTACATTGAGAGTGGCATAGTTTGTGCGTGTTCATCGGTCTGACGGAAATCCCAATGTGACGCAAGCCAACCCATCCCTTCACTTCCGATGTTATCTACATCATATAGCCTCTACTTGAGTTCTCGTATTTACACGGTTTGTATCTATGAGCAGGTCCTAGATTTCTCCGTTGGATGCGGCTCACCTCATTTAACACTGGGCAACATCATGTTTATAACAGAAATGAGATAAGATGTTTCTAGTAGTACCAACTGAGCTGATTACGACCATGCAAACCAAATGTTTCTATTTTCATTTCTTCCTTTCAGCTAAGCACTGCGTTCCATGCATCGATTGCTCGTCTGTGATTGGTCTATTGGCTCCCTGTAATAGTGGCAAAGAAGTCCTCTTGGTCATGGTATCCACCTGATATTGAAAGTCGATTGACATTTGTGTTTCCTTAATCGATATCATGGCCGAAAGACGCCACTGTGTTAATGACCGAACTCATTTTTGGTACGCCTGTGGACAGTTTACTACAAACTCGCAGTGCAAACACATTTCTTCACTACCTTCGCCTGCCTACCACACATATTTCAGAATGAAACTGGGAGATCAGGATAAGCGGTGGACGCCACATATTGTTTGTGTTTTGCAATCTTTATCTGACTCACTGGCTCAAGCGCAAAGGCAAGATGCCCTTTGCAATCACCCTGGGGTGTAGCGAGAGCCGAACGATCACACGACAAACTGCAACTTCTGCCTAACCAGTGTCATTGGAAACACCAACCTAAACAAGGAGAAAAATTCACTACCACCATCTTCCATCAGCTATTCGACCTGTTACCTATGATTACACCTTACCCCCCCCCTTCCAGTGTCTACAACGAGCCTGTCACTGATGAGGAGTATTGATTCTGCATCTTCAACTTCCCCTGATTCTGACGGCTGTGAAAACTTTGAAGCTGATTTTTTCAACCCACTTCTTATGGAACAGTATGAGCTGAGTGACTTGGTACGGGATCTGGGCCTGCCTAAAGACAAGGCCGAGTCGTTGGAATCTCGGCTGCAACAGTGGCACTTACTTACTGCAAACACTACGGTTACTGCATACAGGAAGCGAAATGTTAACTTGTCCGGTTTTGGTGAGACGAGAGAAGCCTTTTGTTAACGTTCCGATGTGAAAGGGCTGCTGAAGGAGCTTGGTAGGAGGCACATCAGTGATGAATGACGTTTGTTCTTTAACTCGTCCAAGAGTAGTCTTAAGGCAATACTGCTTCACAATGGAATTGTGTACCCTACTGCGCCTCTGTTGCATGCCAATAAAATGAAGGAGACTTACGAAATTATGCAACAGATACTCGCTGCACTGGGCTAGGATAAGTACCGATGAAACATCTGTGTTGACTTCAAGGTCATTGGACTCCTAATGCGTATGCAAGGAGGCTTCACAAAATATTGCTGTTTCTTTATCTTATGGGATAGTATACCAACAGAGCAGTACTAAACAACAGAAAAGTGGCCAGAGAGGACAGAGTATGCTGCAGGGAAAATGAGTGTAAAGCATACACCTCTTGTGCAGCCTGATCATATCTATCTACTATCCCTCCACATCAAGCTTGGTTCGATTAAACATTTCGTCAAAGCCCTCAAACGAGATGGTTTTGCATTCCAGTACCTGAAACAAGTGCTTCCGAAGATCAGGGATACGACGCTCAAGGAAGGGATACTTATTATGTTTGATATTCACCGGATAATGGCAGACAGTGCTTTCCAATGCAACTTGACTTCATTTGAGTTAGAAGCGTGGCGATCATTCAATACAGTGTGCATGGGATTTTTGGGCAGATCAAAGGCAGAGAACTGCAATGACATAACAAAATAGCTGATTGCAGACTATCGAGCTGTTGGTGCTCGAATGTCACTTATGGTGCACATTTTGCATAATCACCTTGACTTTTTTCCTAAGAACTTGGGATCTGTTAGCGATGAGCATGATGAGCGCTTTCACTAAGACATTTCAGTCATGAAGAAGCGCTACAGTAACAAGCACACGCTTTCTATGACTTTTTCTGGTTTCTGCAGCGTGAGGGCACTGAATCATATAGGCGACGATCTCAGCGAAATCATCATTTCTCAGTGCCAATCTGCAGTCAGTAGTTATCAGCGAGTGTTGCAGTGATATTTTAAACGTATTTGCCGCATAGATGTTGTGACTCAGTACATTTACAAGTAATTCGTACGACGTAGCCTTGACATTATTTAAAATAATCATTTGCTAATAACAATGTAACCTGACCTGCTAAGTAACCTCGGAATACCTTACGATCAGTGGAGTGTATTCTATAAGGTATGGACATTCGCATTTCTGTTATAATAAATGGATTTTTTGTCGCACAGTGTAATCGTTGGCTCTATTATCACTTATATTTTGGCTTTTTTGAGAGTTCTTTCACATTTGGCTTTTGCAGTCTCAACCGGGGCGTTTCTAATTTAGCGGATGCAGTCAATGAACTTCCATAGTCACTGCGATGTTCCCAAGGCTTGTGGTCAGGCACAAGAATTGATCAGCGTCATACCACAAATCTGCGATATTTCTAGCTGTATTCTCCTGTATCGCATCCTATGCCTCAATTTCCCGCCTAATCTTGGTATGTGTTGCTGTAGGAATAACTGTCTAAATGCTTATTGCATCTAAACGCACTGTATCTGCTGTAAGAATGCCGGACATTGGGTAAAACAAGTTGTACTGAGTTTAACTGAGTTCTACAGTATTGCCTAAAAGACGAGATAGACGTACTCAACCTACGAATAATATAAGGGGATTTGCAGTTCCACAGATTCAGTTCAACTAGTGCGAACTCATTCATTTGTGAAATGTACCGTACATTAAAACAACGTGTCCAGACCTTTGCGTAACACAGACTAATCGACATAACCAAATGAATTGATATGCTAAAAACTATAAAAAAATGGCTAGTTTGCCATTTGTTTGACTGGTACTGAACGCATTTCACTGTAACGGTCCGATAGTTTATCACAATACATGTGGAGTACCGCTGCACCATTGACGTACAGACTGGGGAATTTTGAAATCACCTTGCGCATGCATCTAATCGGCCGCATCCATGTGTCCATTGGGTCACAGGATCAGCGTCCCTTTGAATCACGCTTCTGTGCTCAGTTTCACAGCTACTAAGTATGTGGTTTCACTCGTTCAGCTTTTGTTGCTTGACTGTTCTCTGTGTGGATGGCTAGTATCAATTTATACATGCTGTGATCCACACTGGGCGAAAATGGCATTGAGCAGACTGTCAAACCCCGCTAGTGATTGGTTGTGGTGGCCGCAATCCCCTCTAACAGATTAGCCCAAGCTGCCTCACTGAAAATCTTTACGTCGTCTTTTCCTACTCTGTGCACGTCCCCGCAGCCTACTCATATATGGGCTGTTATAAAATTGTAGGCTGTGTTTCCTACCTTTCACAAATGTCTCATCATGGTACGCATCTTACGCGCGCTTGTTTCCAAAGTGCAGAGCTAGTTTGTGCTTCTTACCAAACGCCTTCAGCACTCCATTTCACTCCCAGTTCTTGGTTGATGCATGTGGATTTCGAGCGTGCTTTCTGCTTAAGCCATCCTGTCCTCCTATCATAGCTTAGTTGCTTGATCAACCGTTTCCCCCTGTAAAATCCGCCGACGAAACATGTTTCCATTCATGCGCTCCGTCCTCTAATCAGTCTGTGTTTCCCTCCGAATTTCAGGGCGCGCCGTCCTTGCTTGGGCGTTTTGTTCCCTTTATCGCTGTTGCGGCTGCCAATTGCATCAACATTCCTTGCATGCGCAGTTTGGAGCTGTCCGAGGGCACCGTCATCACTGATGAGAACGGGGAGGTTTTGGGCAAGTCCACTGTGGTCGGACGGCGTGCTATAGCCAAAGTGGTCTTTTCTCGAATTCTCATGGCAATGCCTGGCATGAGTAAGGAACCTTCAGCGCATATTATCATACTCTATGCTACTATACTACAAGTTACCTTTGTTTGCTCCATAGTGTAGCTGTAGTAACCCCATGTTTTCTCGCCAGAATCAATATGCTATTTCTTCTAAATATTTTCTGGTTTCCTTGCACATCTGTCCTTTTCGTTGTTATCCATCATGCTGGGTATGTCGCGCGCGTACACTATTACCACACTAGTCACCCTTTGTTAACCCATTGATCTCAGCTTCCGACGCACACCGAGCCGGCTGACGGTGAATGTCACTTTTTTTATTCTCAGTCCTGGCCAAACTATCACCAATCTGATGGAGTTATCTCGATACCTTTGTGCAGAGGAATTATGCCATCTTTGGTATAACTTTTAATTTGTGTCTACCTCCTGGTTTGTGCGCATGACGCGGCCTGTGATTTACTCGGCATGTCAAATCTTCTTTTCGCTATTTTGACTGTTTTCTACCGCTCTTATGAATGGAACGGGTGCGGGCTAAATGCTTTCCATCCGCATTCCCGCTTTCTTTTAATCACTATCACTTGTTCTTTCCAAAATTGACGTTAGGCTCACTGCGCTCCCGATTCCGTTTACTCTCACACACGGTATGGTCGTACCGTCACCATCACCACCGTGATCACCGGTACGTCGATACTTCCTTGCATCATGACCGTGACATACGAGGCGGCAACCATAGCTGGAAGCAAACGACAAACCGGGTGTTTAAACGAATCTAAATCTATCCTTGTGAGGTGGCTTGTGGCCCTCTTTGTCCCACCGCTGGTCTAGTGTTAACCTTCTACGCTCATGCTGCGTTTTCAATGCTTGACAGCCCTAAACGGTACATCACACGGGAGTGATGACGGAGTGAACCTATTTGTTAACAATCCGAGTCACATTGGTTTTGACCACATTGTAGATCAAACGAGGAAGGGTATGCTATCTGCTACCACTAAACTATCGCATTCCGACTGCATCATAAGGTAACGCGTGGACTCTCTTGAACCACTGGATTACACTAACAACCAATATTTGAGCGCGTTTGAATTTGTCCGCATCAAACTGACCAGCAGTTAGCAATAAGGTAGGCTAACCTTCACCATTCTTTTCATCGGATTTTGAAGGAATGGACATTTTTATGGTTGTAGATCCGGTTGCATTAGCCCAGAATAAGTGCTCTCTGTATATCTCTAGAGACCCTAGAAACTAGGCGTACTTTCACCCATAATCAAGACAGACGTCTTCCGATCAGGTCCGTCCCTCGGTTTACCTTGACCCCACATATAACTTTGGTACATTCGAACGGCGATCCCAAGTCTTCTATTGCAATATGCGATCGATTTCAAACAGATCTCTGCGAGGCACTCCCGTTTTGACTAGGCTGTCCCATTTCTAATCACCCCGTTCAACCGATGCCCAGGGTTAGAAATCCATAACGACAGCTCCTTATTCTTAGAGTGGCAGCCGTGACATCTCATCTGTCTATAGAGCTCCATCATCAATACTTTTTCTTTTTCTACCTCTTTATCATCAGTCTTAACTTTTTTTCTTAGGTTAGCCAGCGAAATCCCACTCTGTTTCTGTCGTCTACTCTATCCAACCGAATTCTTCTTTCATAACGAGTGTTACTTTTCCCACTAGGTCTCTCAACCACAAAACTGTCTGACCGGCCAACAAATGCTACCCGGTTTCCCTCCACGCTTATCTAGGGTTGATAGGTGTATTTTCGAAGTACACATGCAATACCATGTGGCTTTGGTTACCGTGTGACCTTATAACTAACGCATGGCTTATTGTATTACTCGCATCCAGCTGCGTCGACCTACCTTGAAAAAACATTCTGCTTAGGTAGATCCTCCTATCTGTCCACTTGTATACTGTTCTCTGTCGCAGGCTACCCTCGGGCCAACAGATAACGACGTAAAGCTCAATATTCTTATGTCAAATAGGTGCCTGTTCCCACTACCATGAAATCGAGCTGCGCTTATTACCGCTCTCAATTACCCTGTTTCATCTACTAGTACTTTAAACGCTATGTTTTGGGGACCGTTTTGGAGTCATCGTTTTTCGCTCTATCGACAGCACTTAGATTCCTCAAACGTTCACAACTAACAATTCACGTATGTATGAAACGGGTGTCCGATACGTGCTTCACTTTGTGTGTGTGTGTGTGTGTGTTTGATCCCAACGAACAAACGGCTGTTTTTGACCTGAATTGTTTATATTGTCCATAACCCCTGTTGACACCTGCCAATCTAATTGTGTCGCACGCCCAGATTGGCACAATACGGCACAGTCTACGTTCTCAAACCGTGTCTCAGCGCCCCGTTTCGAGTTTTTTTTAGCTTATCAGCTGTGTGGATGAGATGACCTCTGAAGTGTGAGTTCGCCTCTGGTTAGTCACGGACACTTTGCTTGCACCCAGCCGAATAGCTTTTCTGGAGTGTCATTTTCCGCTTACTCACAACCCAGTGAAACGACGCTCCATCGGAATTTTTTTAGACTGACGAAGAGTGTCAGTAGATTGTAGTATTCATTTGTCTAATGATTAGCGTTCTGGTTAATAGCACTAAGTCCTGCTTTCAAGTCAAGTCAAAATAAGCTTCGTATGCCCGGATTTTCAGATTCTTACAATATCGAATGCGAAACGACTACAATGACATGATCAGAAATGTGAGCTTGTATTCATGGTTAAAGGAAACGCGGTGCCCGGGGGTGCCACTCGAGCAAACGGCCAAGCATCAACAGGCAACGATTGCGCATTACTAGAGCGAATCATCGGGGGTTTGCACCCTGTTGACATGATTGCGTCGCAGACACTAGTTTGGCAACTAGAGTGGTGTTTTTTCAAGTTACTAACACATTTTTTGCCAAATCGTTTGGGTGTATTTGTGATTTGATTGACAAAACTAACAAATCGCGTCCCAAGCGCAATATCCTGATTTTTGTTCAGAAAACCATCGAAGTTGGACAGCGTTAGTGACATTGAAAATTATCTAACCAAACAATGTCACAAAATTTTCCAAAAAAAATGACAACTCCACAGTAAATCGCGTGGAAACGATGTTCCAGTGGAAACCCAACAGTTGATTTCATGGCCCGACCATTGGGTTGAAACAGACTTCGATGAATGAAACGATTATCGCGTACTATTGGCTAACCTACCCAATAGTGTTTTGGGCGGAGCGTTATTTTCCACGTTAAATTCCTTCTGTGCTCAGCTTTTTCTTTGGTCACTTGGACCGGGGAGTTACACCCGTCATGTGGTTGTTAGCGCGGCGTATCGTGAGTTGCCCTAATATCTTCTTCCACCTGTACCTCAGCAGTAACGATACTCTACTTATGATTGTTCGCTTTGTCCTCGACCATAAACGACTCGCCTCGCGAGTACTTCTAGCCCAATGATTGCCAGCCATCCTCAAAATACTTGAGCTTTTAAACTTACTGTGACTTTCACCATTCTACCCAAGGAACGGTGTCAGCAGTACGCCGACACATCTTGCTGACGCTTCATTGTCACGCGATCACCGCCGGTCGCTTGTGGGTTAGGAATATTGCAAGGTCTCCCACACCCATGCAAGCTCTAATCGGTGCTACTTGGTCTACAAGCCAGTCACTCCATCATCGGCCGGCACAGTGCTCCATTAGTGCAAGAGCGCACTGTAGGATCGGATCTTCGATGGTTGGCGAGCTTTACTGACGAGAACACATTGTACTTATTTTCTTACTTCATCGGCTAACTGAAGACAGTTATTCTAACAGACGGCCTATTGCAACCATCTTCTTTACACACTAGGTATTTCAACCGACCGCACATGTTTGTGTTGTTGTTGATAGGGCGCTACCATGAAATTCGTTCATACACTGGGACGCTTCATGTGTTCAACTCAACACGCTGTGTAGCTGCGTTACCTCGTTTTCCACAATTCTTTATCCTTGTAACCGTAATACTTTCACGAGGTTCTACTCTTTTTGATCCGTTTGAGATAAACGTCTGGCTTTGTAGCCTATTAACAACCACCGGACATACGAACGATATCATTCCTCTGTAGTCGGTTCAATTCCCTATACAAGCGCTGATGATTCATGTACCGCATTGCGTCGCATCCTACTTGGTGGGCTTTAAATAAATAAATACCTAAACAAGTTGTATGCTTTTCGACAATGCGCGATACACTCCTACTAGGTGATCTGATCAGTTTGTACGACAGTCTCTATCTTATCCAGTCCAACCTTAGTTGTAGTTACGTGGGTCGAATGAAAAATTTTGTGCCTCAAAATACCAAACGTGATACAGAGTCTTGGATGCTTTCATTTTTCCACATTATCACCCACAAGCGCAACACATTTGCTCCAGCGGTGTTGAAGCGCCTTTATCCCAGTGGAAAAGAACTCTTCAGATTCGACTCTACAAACGCTTCTACGGTCTCAATGACGTCAATGTCGCTATGATAACGTTTGCCAGTTAAAGTTTTTTCAGGTTTGGAGATAGCTGGAAGTCAGCGGAGCCAGATCTCTTGTATAGAGCGGATGGGGAAAAAGCTGGATGCCACAATCGTGAATTATTTTCTGAGCAATGGAATAACTGTGAGTTAGAGCATGGTCATTGTGGAAGATGACTCCTCTCGGCAGCGTTCCTGGCCTCTTTACTTGTATCTTTTCCCTGAGACGTTTCAAAAGCTCACAGTAATACTTTCTGGTCCCTTTCATGGAAATCAATCATCACCACACCTCAGGAATCCCAAAACACGGATGCCATCACCTTGTCAGCGGACGGTGTAACCTTGGCCTTCTTTGGCTTAGGAGATGATGCATGCTTCCATTGCCTTGATTGTTCTTTTCTTTCTGGTTGCAATTGGTGAACCCAGCACCTATCCATAATGATGAATCGTGCAAGGAAATCAAAGACGTTTATCTCAAACGGAGCTAAATGATTATTTGACATCACGTGTCGAATGCGCTTCTGCTCGACAGTCAGAAGATGTGACACCCATCGAGCAGAAACTTTGAGTAGCCCAATTCCTTCGTCAGAATATTATCTGCTCACTCCTGGGAGATGCCCAACTTTGCTATCTGATGAGTTGCTACTCAGCGACCTCGAATGATCACTCTACTGCTAGGGCAAGCTTTTCTTTAGTGTTGGCGGTTGTTGGTCTCAGTGACCTGGGCTCATCTTCAATACTTTCCTACCGCGCTTAAACTCTTGCACCCAATGTTTGACTGTGGCATATGAAGGGGCGTTGCCATGCAATGTATGGAGCATATCTTGTTGACTATCAGATGGTGACATTCCTTCGAGATGGAACTATTTGGTCACTGCGCGATGCTCCGATTTCTCCGTTTTCACCAAATTGCAGACCTTGTTTGATTCAAGACTGTGCTGAAATAAAAGTAAAACGGGTATCGATGTGTATTTGTATGCTATTAATAAGAAGAAGCGGTAGAGTATTAAAAAAACCTCATTTAATTTGCCTGGCTATCTGATTTATGTGCCAGGCTCATTCGAGTTGTTCAGAGTGTTCCCTAAACAGATTTTTGACGCAATCGATCGGTTAAATGCATTAGAAAAGCGAAGAGGTTGACAGTAGGATTTTTCAGAGATCTAGCCAAATGTTCAAATGAAATACTACGACTATTCATGTAACCGTTTCCTGGGGTCATGCTTCTGTGCGGGATAGTCCCTCAAAAGGGTTGCATCTGTACTTCCATGCTCCATCTGGCCGTGCATCGATGTGGCTCGAAAACAAGCAGGCTATCACCGCATTAACTCATCTTTAGTTCCTTTATGTGATATGCATACATAATTGGAATTCCGACCATCCAGCCCGTTTCACCATTCAACTCTGTCGAGTCAGGCACCGCTGTATCGATGGCATTTCGCCTTGCGTGAGCGTACGGTTTATTCACTTGGAAGTTTCATTCCGTCACCTCATAAGATTAGCCTAGTCATGGCCAACAAGAAAAAAAGAAACAAAAATTAAATCGTGGCAACACAATACACAAATGGCATATTTCTCTACAGTACATGACACAGTTCGAGCATTACTCTGATTCAGTTTGAACAAAGGGACCACACAAAAGATTAAAAAATACAGTTCTAAGTAATTGTAAACGATGCTGCTCTCACAAACATTTTCAGAGCTCTATGAGCTACATGCATCGCGAAGCAGAGTAACTGATATCGAAATTGATTTCGCGCGCCACTTGGAATTGCTAGGTGTACCCGAGTTGTTGCCACAGCGCAAGTTCAATCCGCTATTCCTTCACGGGACTTCACGAGTGTCTTCGTGGTATGTCTACAGCTTGCACACAACAGGACTAGTTTGATGCATTACCTGTGCTTACACTCACAACATCAACTCAAGGTGTTCTTTTGGTTCGATCTTTCAAGTGCTTGAGTCGTCTTTGCCAGCCACATCACCAGTCTCTTGCGCATTGCAGTCACGCTAGTGTAGATTTTTAAGACCTTATGAACTCATCTGAGGGACGGTGAGACATCAGCCTATCGATCAAAGGCGGAGTATGTGGGACTACCGTCCATTCACTGTTATCGTTTTGGTCGGAGGCGTATTTGTCTTCCTTTGGAAACGTTGGGAGAGTTCATACGTTGAACTGCACGCACTTTTGAGACATCCCACACACCGTCTAGTAGAGCATAACCAGTCGGTGTGTTACGAAAACTTTCCGGTGCTTCACTATACTCTCTGTTGAACTTTAGCTGTGTGCGCTGATCGAATCAATTTCTTTGCACGCGTACCCACCACATGACTTGAAGTGTGCAATCTATTTGTACTGTACCTGAATGGGGAAGCGTCATTGCTTTCAGGTGGTTAGGGCTAATGGAGCGTGAAAATGCCAACTAATTGTTCGGGTCGGTTTGGTGCGTTCGGTCCCCCTCGGATGGTATCAACTCCGGCAATCGCTCTACTATCTCATCATGTCATTCATTCGATTGTTTTTACACCTCCGTCTGATTTCGTAGTTTCTTAGCCGTTCCAATATCCTCAGCTTTTATACCAACGGATTGAGTTACATCATGATTTACTGACGGCTGCCTGCTGCTTTCGAACTGACGGCTTGTTCCTCGATTTATCTGATACCGCTTTCCATTCGCCGGTGATGCTCGCCTCTGCTCATATTTCCTCCTACAATCCGATCGTCATTTCTGCATAGGTTTACATGCTCTGCAGTAATCTATCATTTGCGGAACGCTAAGTGAACAAGCATATTCAAGGTGCTATGAATTTATATCTGCTCACGTTTTCTATACATTTATCACACTGTTTCATTTGTCCCCATTCTCAAATCACCTCGCCCGCTCACCGTCCAAGTCATTCCACCCTTCTTCATGGACGCTTTGGAGAAGCGAGGCACATTGGCTCGTTATCCGTGGTTGGGCGCTCCACTCCAAGTAACCATGTGCGGTCTGCTGTAAGTCACACCGACTGTGCCTACTTTTTACAGTGAGGTTAACGGGCATCACCTCTTCAATAGGCTCATCACGTCACGTAACATTTTTCTGGAACCGGCATTTGATAGCTCACGATGGGTGATAGTGAACGGTGATTTACCAGTATTTTTCATTTGGTTGAACCACAAGATTTATCGCGCAATTCTACCATTTTATCCAGGAATGGTGATTAGTCTTAGGTAATGTGTAGGATGGCTTTGATAAGCAACATTCATGGCTGAATGAAACTTCCCTGTCGCTCACCTGAAGCGCATGTTTGCGTGAACTGATACCACATGTTTGCCCTGTTTTCCACGATTGGGAACCCACAACTTGCTCCATTGCTAGCCAAAGATCATCTACGATAACATGTGTCGTGGATCTTATGACACGACGTTGTACTTGTTATTTTTGGCCTCTGACTTGCAGTTTTTAGTCTCCTACAATTGGTTCTCATACTCAAATATGGTGGGTTTGCGAAGGAGGGTCACTTTCAAATTATGCTGTCCTGCCAAACAAATCAATCCAAACGGTGAAGCCCCCGACTCGTCATTTCCCAGCATCTTATTTTGCTGGCTTTCACAGTGATTAGGAGATACCATAACTGCATCGGATAATACACGTTTTTCTGACTCTAGAATCAGGTTTCATTCACGAAAACACGATTCATCACTTTTCGCTTTTTTCTCACATTTACTGATTATCCTTAATATGTTTACAAATAAACGACAGCGCCGAATGAGTAAAAGTTGGCAATCGTTTCCAAAAGACTTTTCAACCTGACCCCATAATGAACGCACCCAAGAGTGGCGCGTTGTAACCTGCTTCTATCAGGGCACCACGCTAAGACGTGCAACCGTTTTTGGGTTTTGGATATGTTCAACTCGAAGTGCATCGTGTCTCGTACTCTTGACACCACATTGGATCACGTCGACCAATTGCGGACGTACTATTCCCCAGGATAGCCCATTTCTGGCAAACACATACAGTTGCACCAGTCTGTGTTTCTTTGTCTTTTATTATTCGTGGGTGTGGTTTTATGCATATATTTGAACACTGCGTGACTATTGCACAGCTTTTTTCTTCGGTTCACCGTATGTTTCTCTTCCTCACCATTCGTCTCCACAGCCTGACATTTATGACCCCGATGTGCTGTGCACTGTTTCCCCAAATAAGTTCCATCCCCTTCGACAGACTTGAAAAGAGAGTGCAAGCCAAAGTGCTCGAAGTGCGCAACGGCGACCCACCTGTTCGCGTATACTACAACAAAGGTCTGTGAACAATCAGTCCGACTCAGCTGAGTCTGTTGCATTACCTCGCCTTTCGCCACACCATCCGCTTTCTCCTCTGCTTCGGCCGATTCAGCATTGATGCTCACCGCGGACTATATATCCGTGTTGTAGCAGCTATTCCACGTATCTACCTTCTGCCTTTTGTTAAATATTTCCTTATTGTTTCCATATTTATTCCACATACCATAATTTGTTTTACTGGCAATACACTCATTGTTGAGCTCATTGTGACTCCGTCCTAACGCCTCCCCGAAGGGTGAAGGTAGTATCTTCAGAATCGGATCTGTTTTCACCCTATTTTCAATCCGGCTACTCGGGGGCATTTACGCCATAGACTCCACAGGCTGTGAACTGATCAATCCCAACAAGATGTCGCGTATCGAACTAATATTGACGGGTCGTTCTTATATATCTCTTTTTCTTACTCTCGTTTGAACCGTACTTACTCGAACAAATGGCCTGTCAGCCATCAACTCCACTTTTGTTTGTGCCTAAACCTACCGGAATGTGACAACAAACAGATCGTCATTTTCATATGATCTTTGCGTGAACAATAGGTGCATCCTTACATCAGCATGTCCGCAACGATGTGCGTAGCGGAGTGCTGGGCAGTGATAATCAAGCTAGTTCCTTAGAACGACAGTTAACACTAAGTAAGTTACGTTGACTTGGACACATGCTACTACGTATGCCCGGTCACCGCTTACCGGGAAGGGTCTTTTGTTTGCCAGCTGTGGGGTGACGCAAAACTTGAGGTGGGCGGAACTTCATTTAGTAACGAGAAATGAATTCAGTGACTGTAAGACTGTGCCATCGGTCCGTCGCCCCTTCCAGATTGGAGTCTACGCTACCCAGCTTGTGCTTGGCTCGGGACGTTACAAGGCATGACTCGCAATCGGCACCGGTGACGCGTCTGCTGCGGGCATTACACTATTGCTTCCCTTGTAATTGGGTGTGACTATTCCACGCTTCCACATGGTTGCGACCTACATCTCATTGAAACAGCGCTGGAGGAGCAAATAATGGTTCAGCCAAATTCGTAGCAGCTACCATCAATGGCCTGGTGCGTGTTATCCGGACAGGGTGAACTATACTCGCGTAGTGACATCAATCGCTTCAGCATATCTGCGGCAGTGAAGATGCGACTACGTACTTGTGGCGGTGTGATATCTGAAAACGGTATGAGAAGGTGACGCGTTCTGGAAAGTACAAGCGGAATGATGTTTAAGAATAATAGCTGCTTCTTCGGCGGTTTGTAATTGCCCACATGCGATGCTAAGAGGCGGGATGCCTCGCCGTATTTTGCGAAGTTTATTAACGTGCCTGTAAAGTAGGTTAAGGTTGCCGCACAACTTCTTCGCCAGATCCTGTCGGTGTCTCATTTTACCTTCGCGAGCCAGTTTAAAACAGTGGTTTCGCTCGGTTATGTAAGCACTCCAGTTTCCGGCTTTTTGATCGGATTCGTATGCTTTCCAAAGTGAATTTCAGGGTCATTCGTTTCCGCGTCCTGCTCGTCAGGAAGGACTTTGCTTTTTTGAGCTAGGGATCTTAGGCTCTGATGCGTTTGTTACTAAGTTGTTGAACTGACTGACGAACTTCCCCAAGCGACATCAGGGGGTTGTTCCACTAGAAACGACCAATCAGTGATCTGGATGAGGTCGGATGAAAGGTGGTGGCGTTGCCACACTGACCTCTCCGATATCCTTGTTGAACTGTTCAGCGTAGCAGCCGTCGTGAAAAAGCAGTATTGCATGATCACTGCACCCCAGGTGTTCGCTGTCACTGTGTCGATCTTAAGTTCCTCATTGATGAAAACGAAGTCCAAAATAGTCGGTTTGTTCCCCTTCTGAATCTCGCACGGTAAGTAACGTGATTATGAAATGATAGGCCAGCGACTAATTCTCGCAGTTAGGTCTTAAACTGCTCGCCAGATGAGGCCCGGACATTTAATGCGTACAAGTTGAAGTCCCCCACAAGGAGAACGTGAGTGTTAGGCTGAGCCAGAACGGTTTTCAGTGCAGAAGATCAACGGTTTTCTATTTCCAGAGTGGATATGGGAGGTCAGTATACGATGGCAACTAAGCATGCGTCGCTACGTCTTAGTTTCAGGTGGCACCAAAGTGAGTCCACAACTTGAATCTCTGGGTCGTCACTGCGATAGTGCAAAATTATGCCACCTCCCCTACTATGTCGATCTATACTTTAGCACGAACATACCTTGTGGAGCGATCTTCGTCTCCGTGATTTCATCGTTCAGCAGGTCTCAGTTATCATTATCAGGTCCATAAACGTCAAGGCTTGACGCGGCATTTTCTTATTTCATTTTAATGTTTTTGCCAGCACATCTCTGGATAAACCGATCGAGATTGCAATCGTGCACTACAGCAGTGGCGCCGAGTATATTCGCACGTCGTCCACCAAACAAGTGGTGTCTGGTAAATCCTCTAACGCTTTTAGTAGGCGTATTCCGAATAGATCACTGGAAGCTTTCAAATTATGATAAACGGAACCACCAGGATAGCCAGAACGGTGTACTGACCGCCATCACATGTAGACCGATTCATTGCCCAACATGACATCGAAAAAATGTGGCAGCTGGATCAACATTTGTGAAGGATCTTGTTGTTCCTAGAACTGGCAATATAAATTCCAATATCGGTAGAATGTCATCATCATCATCACTATACATGTCAGCTAGAGATGGTAAAACACCTCCGCTATTGTACCGCAATACATAAAGAAAATACATACATACAATACATAAAGGAAAAATAAATACGACAGTTGAATGCCAGCTGAGCTACCAGCAACGGATAGGCATCGTTCCGGTAAGCTACCAGCCGGCTACTAGGCAAAAAGAAAAATTATTATGTTTTACGCTATGAGATAAGATCGTAGGTGGAGGGGGAGGGACAAAGAAACTCACAACAGGAACGCCACTGAGGTCGGCTCCTTGCCATATCAGCAAGTGTATCCAGCCAAACGTATTCACCGTCTTTTGGACCCCAACCAGGGAGCCGTGAAGCTCCAACTGAGGCCAGCTCAGAAGTGAGGGCCTTCATTCCTCTCGACCAAGTCATCGCTTGGCCACCTCTCCTCTTCTTCCACCCACATCCCCGGTGAGCAAACAACGCACGTCGAGGGAGTCGGTGGGCTGGCATACGCAACACGTGGCCCAGCCATCGGAGCCTGGTGAGTGAAATGACGGTGCTGAGCGGTTCATTCCCTTTTCCTACGCCGTAAACAAGGCGTCGAACACGCTCGTTACTCACGCGGTGTTCCCACCAGATGTGAGCCAAACTGCGAAGGCACCGATGGTCGAACGTAAGTAGCCTCTTCATGTCCGCCGATCTTAGGGGCCAGGTTTCGCAATCGTACAGTAAGGTCGAACGTACCGCTGCATTGTACACTCTACCCTTCAGGGCGAGAGTAATGTCGCGCCGTCGCCATAGGTGGCGAAGGTTAGCAAAAGCACTTCGAGCTTTCGCTATGCGGTTCGTGATCTCGTCTTCGATCCCAAGGGCGCTGATACAACTTCCAAGGTAATTGAATTTCTGAACGACTTCTAGCTGATCCCCACCAAGGGTCAGCACAGGGGGCGAACCCTGTCAATCCTGGAGGAACGCTTTGCATTTCGGTGGTGCAAAGCAAAGCCCGAAGCGACTGACAACCAGTGCTAATCTGTCCAGAGCGGCTTGGCACGTCTGGGAGCTGTCATCGGTAGAATGTAGTGCGGCCTTAAGTGGGTTTGGAACAACGCACACTAAAATCACAGAACTTTTAGTATCATTTGCCACTCATCGGACCCAATCTCTGATTCCGCAACTTTGCTTATGACACCGAGTGCAGCTAGACCCTCCAACTCTTGAGAAGATATTATGCGCAGCAACATGAGTACCTTTCTATCAGGCACGACTACGTGTACAGCAAACTCATTTAGTGATAGATGCATGCAGCCGTCGAAACTTCGCAAACGTTCTTTAATTATTTGGGATAATGTTATTGCCATGAATGCATAAAGCGCTTTCAACTAAAGTAAAGGAAATAAAAATCCTGTCTGAAGTCAACAACCAGCATAGGCAAAAATTTCCCTATACGAATAAAAACGTAAGCCGATGGCCCATTCCAATCCTTAAAACTGACCATATTCAGCGAGACAGCCATACGGATAGGATTATGTACCGCTTCACAATTTAAACGAATGCTGCACCTAGGTGAAAGACGAACTGTTTGCTGAGCTTAGCAAGTTGGTTGCAAACGTTTCGTCAACAATCGTGGTGATACCATCAGTGCGTTGCTGAACAACGTGTAGCCAGTAGCGTAGCGTAGGGAAACCTCGATGAGACTGCGTTGGGTATAGTGCGTGTGTACTTTTGTATGTGTTCCTGTGTTTGGTCGAGGGGAGGAGCAGTCCTATTGGCTGGGATGTTTGCTCATTTTCAGCTTGTTGGACAGGTAGTTGACCATTGACTTTGACCCATCTGGCTTGTGCATTGGGACCTTTGCCTAGTTACTCCAATGCTCAATTATCTCCTCCGTCACCTGGTTGCTGTAGTGCTTAATTACCTCGTCCGCCGCGTTTGTCTAGAGTTCTGATCCACCGGATTTAATCGATTCGGGTGGCGGTCCCTTGACCTTAGGGTGTCGTATAATGCATCCAGTTCAATGTGTCGGTTAATTGAGTTTGCTATGGAGTGTCATGTTTCCATAAATTCTCTCGCATATGTTGTACTCTCACTCGCCAAAATCTTGAAATTTTCCAGATCGAAGTGTTGGTCTTCATGTGCGGAAACCAACGCATTCGGCTCATCCCTTCTTATGGCGGTTTTGTGTCCGGTGATTCGTGCACGAACTTAGTTCCTGTCACGTTCGCTGCAATTTATCTGGTAGATAACATTGGTTTGGTTGCCCAGATGTACTCCAGGTTGCCCAGAATCTCTAAAGGGAAAACGAGATGCACTCAGACGTCTACAGAAAGAAGAATAGGTTGTAATCCTTCCAACGGGTTTAGGACGTATGATCGCGATAGTGGATAAACCAGAATTCGTTAGCAAGGCCAAAGTACTGCTGTCAGGCACAACTACATATCGCGTGATCGATCAGGATTCAGTTCAAAGTTGGTCAACCAGATCAACGCAACTCTCAAGTAGTTATAGGCAGGAAATGAGATCACTATCCTGGAGCGATTAGCAATGAAAGCCGGCGACACAAACGTTGCACAATT